TGTTTTTGACACTTAAAACACTATATAAAGCAAGTATTCACCCGAAAAAATGTCTCTGCAAAAACATAAACCTTCACCAATTGGACAAATGCTCAGAATTTGTTTTGGAAAAAAACGAACGTTTCTGCACAAAAACAAAAAGTTCAATTTTCGTACCATTTCTTACGATGGTGTGACCGGAAAAAAATACCCAATCTTAATCCATAGGGTCGTCCGAACAACCCAACTTCTTTTGCCCTTCTCGCTCATCTACTTGTTCACTACTCATTAGCTAGCTATCCAGCCAGACCAATTCTTGGGGACAAGCTTCTGATTTATTTTTTTACTTAAGCTGAGCAACCAAGCATTTCTTTCGAGACCAGGAGATAACCCGTACTGAAATTTGTAGTCAAAATCAAATTTCGACATCGAAAATACAAACAAAATCCATATCTGTATCAGTCCTGTGGCATCTCTCTTTTTTCCCTGTACATGTCTGAAACAGACATGTACCAGACATAATATTAATGGAAAAAATCAAATCTTGAATCAGATACGATCAGACTTGCAGCAAACCTGGACCAGATATGTTCATGTCAGAAATTACATGATCAGACTTGAAGCAGACTTGACCATAACTGACTTTACATTATCATACCTCAACCAGACATGATCTTGCCTGAAATTACTTGATCAGACCTGAAACAGCATGATGATACCTGACTTTACACGATCACACCCGAACCAGACATAATCATGCATGAAATTGCATGATCAGACCTGAAGCAGATATTCCATTATGGTAGTGTACGACCGGGACAATTCGTGAGTCAACCTAAACAAGCTTAGGTGTTAACTCGAGAAGCAAAAATCAGTTTAATATTGGTGCCAGACAATGCCCAGCATGCCAGATATTAAGCTGACAAGAACAGATACTACACATGATCTTAGTCAGAAGGCCGAGAAGCGATAACTGAAACAAAAGATCTTTTTCTAAATTCCTTAGACACATCAAAGAAACAACAGCTCGGACCATAAAACTTTTAACCTATCCGAATGGATTGGGAGCTAGGTCGCTTCCGAAATAATTCATACAAGATCATGGTAAATAGTTAAAAATGAGCAGTAATTATGATTCTTTGCTTTATCAAAACACCCTGCCGGCTTGTAATTTTTTCGTAAAACTACACTGGACTACATTATAATCATCTGCGTTTCTGCGGTTGTATGCCGTTAAGTTTTCTACATGATCAGACCTGAAGCAGGTATAGTCATGTCTGACCAGGTATAGTCATATCTGACTCAGGTACAGTCATGTCTGACCAGGTATAGTCATGTCTGACTCAGGTATGGTCTTGTCTGACCAGGTATAGTCATGTCTGACCAGGTATAGTCATGTCTGACCAGCTATATTCATGTCTGACTCACGTTTAGTCGGCAAACGGCAGAAGTGATCACATGTGAAAGAGATATGCACAGAGCTGGTGGAAAACAGCTAGTGTCTGACAATTGTAAGACCAGACGTGAATTTGTGAGAAAAGTTTGGAACGGGAACCACTTTGGAGCCGTGTCAGTAATTTCGGCAACTTTATCATAATTTATGACGTGTAGGTGAATGAAACGGAATGAAAATCTCGCTTATTTTTTTGGAGTCAAAACCTCAATTTTTTCAAGAGATTACCCTAAAAACAACCAGTGAACTGCAGACCTCAAATGGAATATGAAATTTTGATCGTTTTTTTTTAGTTTTAAAGAAACCGCAATACTAATTTGAATTATCACAACAACCTTAATACAACAGATTAATTAAAATTGTATCTGAAGATTTATTTTTACAACGAGTTGAAAAATAGGGAAGGACTTAGTATTCGGGTGTATTTTAATTATTTTTTGTATTTTTTCTTTTTGTTTTTCACGCAAAATCAGTTACCACCAAAATCTTCGGAATGGGTCGACCAATATACCATAATAAAGCCTTTTTAGTCGTGATTCGAACGGCATTGATAAATTCGAAAACATTTTAACCAATGTTGGGAAAACTCGTTAAAAATTTCGGAATTTTAGTCCAATTTCGACCGAGTAAAGCTATCAAGTTACCTTCGTTTTTTATGAATATTGGCCTTCAGTGTAAAAGAAAACTTGTTTTCAATGAAAAGAAAACCAGTTTTGAAAGTTTTAAAAAGCGCTTCTTCGACCATTAAAACTTTCATACAAATTTAAACTCTCACTGCATATGAATTGAGAAATTTTTTCGAATTAAAAAAAATGTTCAACTTTTTTTTCTTATTTTTTGAAGACAATTGTAGTTTTTTATGCCTAATTCACTAACTTTCTACGCGTTTCTATAGTTCTATAATCACACCACGCAGAAAAAAAACGACTTCAGTTTGAAGATAAAAAATAATTTTTTTTGTATTTTTTTGCGAATGTGGTCACAACATTCAGTGCTACTTGCACAGCAACCGGATATACTTGTTCTTTGTGTTTACTGAGATAACATTAGCATTAAAATAATTCAAAGAAAAGCATCTCTTTGGAAAAAAAGCTTTAGAAAAAATCAAACAAATATGTCACTTAAGATGACCGATTTAACCTGAAATTCGAAAAAATGTGAACTAATAGTTTTCAAATTAGATTTTTTTCTAATAAAATTTGGTTTTAACTATCAGTTTGAAGATATTTTTCAAAAAGATATCATACTTTTCGTATGCCATCAAATTTTTGGTTGCGAGGCTCAAATAAACTCTCAGCGGCAATTTAGTTTCCCCAAGATCTGCTCAACACACAGCTAAATTGAGAATATTGAAGAATTGAACGAGAAAAGTAGAGAAAATTGGGACCCTATTGCGAATTCCAATCCCTCCCCCCCCCCCACGGGATATAATGGGGGTGATAGTTCCTTCATTTAGTCGATGGTGCGGGGGCCATCGTTAACCGCGCCGAAATATTCCAGGAGTGCCGAAAATTCTGTCACTTTGATTTGATTTTTTGGATCGATTAATGAAAAACAATAGATCCAAAAATCCTGAATCTTTGATTTTTTACTTTCCGATCTTCGGTTTATTTCTCCCTTCTCCCCCGCCACACATAACCATCAATTTTGATGTAATTACGGTTTTATAAAATTAATTATAAGAACCAATTATATTTGGAGCAACCTATTTAATTCGTATGATGCCAATTTTGAAAATAATCAAATATTTGAGTCAAATCCTCTGATGAAAAATCGAAGAAGGGTAAAATACCTCGTACATCGGCACTGCTGAATATCCCCGAGCGATTTTTTCTCTGACAATCAAGATGTTGAGTGGAGTAACTAAGCATTCCTGTCGCAGTGCATTTTTATGGCGGGTACCCGTGATAAATTCGTTGTTATTTAGCTCAAAAATCTGCAATTATTTTCTTGTGGTGCAAAATTTATTAAATTGGTCAATTTTTATGGATAAGTTTATACTAAGCATTTAAAAAAATCTTTTGAAAAAGAATAATAAAACATTTTGGCGTTCTTTGGTTAGTTTGGGCTGTTTTATTATGTTTTATGATGTCTGATTTTTTGAAATTTAAGAAATACAACACTTAATAGTAATGTAAGGCCAATTTTTTTTTCTCAGGAGAACACACTAAAAAGCTTTAAAAGACAGATGAATGACTCATTTAAAACATCATTTAAATCTTTACCTATTTTAGACTGCTTTGCAATTTTTTTTATTTTAAGGGCATTTTTATGGGAAGAATAACATCCGAAGAATTAGTTTTTTTTTCAATTCTATTAATTGGGTCTAAATCAAAACGAGTCTAAGTCCTACTTGGCAACCCAGATTCAATTGTCATTTAAAAAGTGCCAATTGTGATGCCCTAATTAGTCCGTATGTTTAATGAAGAGACGAGAATTTTGTAATCTTGTATTTATTTTCTAAAGATAATTCTAATAATTAGTTTGAAGGTTTTTATACTATACGAAAGCGCTTTATGTTTAAAAAACTGTCATGCTTTTTTTATATCACCCTCTAAGCATAAATTGCTCTGCCCTTGAAAAATTAGTTGCTCGAAAGACAACAAATTTACACCTGGGGCACGTATCTCCTCGAAAAATGGGTCTTCAAAAACAGTCTTCAAAAACAGCCAAAAACAGATATTATTGAAATTTGGGTTACTCAAAAAATAAAAGTTTCCATTAAGCCTGAATTTATGTCACTTTTAAAAAATGTCTGTTTATCCAATTTCGTCTTTTTCCCTCAACCCATCACATTTAACCACCGGTTTCAATGTAAAAAAGGATTGCGTAAGATTAAGGGTGAAAGTTTTTTACTAGACACTGAAGCACCATTTCGTTCTTAAAATATCTAAACTTCAACTAACACCAGGGACAAAACAGTGTCTTTTTGGTGCTTTGGCAGAGCTCGGAAAATCAATTTGGTCGACCTAAAAAAAGGTCGACAAAATTTTTTTCAATTTTTTTGAAAATCCTCAACCCCCCCCCCCCGCCCCTCGAGAAAATTCTAGATCCACCCCGGACTAAAACTTAAAAAATTTCTGATTTTCAAAACATTTTATCGAGTTCGTTTTTTGTTACAAAAATTTTTTCAACTAAATTAAAGCAGGATCCCTCGCCCTCAAAAAAATTCAAGCCCTTGGCCATTCACACCCTCCTTCCCATGGTACTAATTTACGATATCTTATTTTGGCCATTCAATTTTAAATTTTCTTAGAGTTGCAGTCGGTGCCAAAATATACTAATTTGGAAGGAGTGCGGGGCTCAGATTAATTTAGCAAATGAGTCTTTATAATAATATTTTGCTTTTCTAGGAGAGCCCGGAAAATCAATTTAGTTGTCGAAGAGCAATAAACGTCGGCAAAGTTTTCGAAAACTTTTGAAAGTCCGCCGCCGCTATTGATTTTTTGCTCTGATACAAGAATGTTCATTTTTTTGCCCACAAAGTAATAAACAATTATTTATTTCCAGAGAGCAATAATAATATAATTCAATCAACAACTCGTCTTGTTTTCTGCAATACATTTACCTGTTGCGGGACAAGCAGACATTTTCGAAAAAAATAATTGGCAATTAAATAGATAAACTGCCACAAAAAAGGTTCTTCGCTAGCTGCTTTATGGTAATTGTAATTGATGGTAATTGACTTGAAGTTGTTGGTAATTGACTTTGAAAATGTTACATTTTTCAGAAGGGGAAGAACATTTGAAGCGAAAAAGACACTCTGTTTTCCAAAATGTTCAGCGTGCTTTTAATTTGGAATGGGATGCTAATCACTGCTGTTCACGGATTTCAAATTCATTTTCAGTTCTAACGCTCAATTTTTGTCTTACATTTTCAGAACTAGGAAGGGAAAATTAAAGGAAAGCGGATACGTATTTGACGGAGGAAAAACGAGGACAAGGAAATAATGCTTCGGGGCTGTTTCGGTATTACAAATTGATGCAGAAACAGACATCGGTGATAAAAACTCAAAAAATAAATGATAAACCTCCTTGTTTTTTAATTGAAAAACGGGAGATTATTTAAACTAATTCTGGACTTTTCACAGCAAATTTGAAGCATAACTACTAGTAGACCATTTTCCTTGGTTTTAACATTTTTTTATACGGTAGCGGGTTGATTTAGATCCAAAAAAGACCCCGCGGCGGCAAAAGAAATAGAGGAAGGAAAAGTTAATTGTTCACAGACAAAACGGTATACAAAATCGCCCTACTTGTGAACAATTTCACCACAAGATGGTCTCTATTAATTGTTCACAAAAAATTCTATTATAAATCGCCTTGCTTGTGAAAAAGTTCCTCCAAAAGATGGTCTCTATTAATTGTTCACAGGAAAATGGTATTATAAATCGTCATCCCAGTGAACAATTTCTCTAAAACATGTACTATATCGTCTTCAGTATTGTAGTGATCAATACCTACTCTAACTGTGCACATGGAAAATGGCAGTGTAAAATGGAAATTAGAAGATAAGGTGTGCTCCTTTTAAGCTTATGACGTAACATGGAGATGATGACGCAACTGCAGGTGATTTTTGTGTTTTTAGACAGTCGTTTTTTCTTTTTTTTTCCAAATTGTAAACTTTAAATCATTTCCAAGTTGCGTTAGCTAGGGTACAAACGCGTGAAAAATGCTTAAAATGTTAAAATCTGTAAAGAATCTAGTTTTTGGCATTGATTTTATGAAATCCATACTTTTAAATCTCGATTTAACCTCAAAGAACGATAATGTTTCGTTTTCTTTTATAAGGAAAAAAATCATTTCCGCTAAAAATGCTTATGATTGGAATTAAACGACCTTACTTTGTGCGTCATTGTATTTTCTCATTAGTTGAACCTGGGCGTAATAAAAAATTATACGAGCTTGAATTACGGTTACAAATTACAAATACAACTAGCTAAAATACAAAGCTGACAAAGTTAGTTAGCTATATATCTTCACATGGAAGAAGGAAAAATGGAAAATATAAAATAAGGAAAAATAAAATCATAAAAGAAGCAAATTTTTTGACAATTTTCGAAGATCCGCCGCCGCTATTTCTGATTTGCTCTGAAATGAGAATTTTTTTTTATTTTGCGCGAACAAAAAACAACTGTTTAATTACCATAAATAGATAGCAGCCATAAACCAAACAAATTCTATCAACAAAACCCCAAGATTTATTGATCACAATTATTTGTTGCGGGACAAGCAGACATTTAAGAAAATGGGTAATGTATTGAAAAATTGAAATGAAAAAAATTCTTTGCAGGCTGTTTAATTGTTTTATAAACCTAGTATAATTCTGAGCAGTATTTCTCTCTTCATCTTTAGTCTAATGTCATCCAATTAAAAAAACGCCTAATGTCATCCAATTTAATTTTTGATTTTTTTTTCAGTTTGTCAGATTGATTCAAATCAACACACAGCAGTTTTTTACTAGCCAAAAAAGCTATCAAAAAGCAATTCTGAATCACTTTTTATATCTTCCCAGATTGGCATAAAACATTGTGTTTCACTCTGTTGTGATTTAGTATTTTAGTATGTTATAACCTAGACCTCTATTATCTAATTAAGTACCAGTCAATGTTCACTCTACGAAGTCCAGTGGACTTCGGATCACTAGTTGCTTTTTTTAGACTACAGTCAGTCTTAATTCAAACAATACTTTTACTCTCTCATAACTTTTGTTAGATACATTAGTTACCAGTGTTAAACTTACACTTTTATCATGGCGCACTCAAAAACTGATTCGAACCTGCGGGGAATACCCGCCTTTTGGCCGAACCACACGGTAGAACCTCCCACCCAATGGAACAACTGGATAGACCAATTCCTTTTGCCTATCATTGCGAAGAAAAATTTATACATAGACAACCTCAAAGAACCAGTGGAAGGGGACACGACGTTACCGATCCTAGAAGGCGCTCAGGAGTCAGAAACTGACCAACAGAGGAAAGCCAGGGAGGATTTTTTGAAATTTAAGAAATACAACACTTAATAGTAATGTAAGGCCAATTTTTTTTTCTCAGGAGAACACACTAAAAAGCTTTAAAAGACAGATGAATGACTCATTTAAAACATCATTTAAATCTTTACCTATTTTAGACTGCTTTGCAATTTTTTTTATTTTAAGGGCATTTTTATGGGAAGAATAACTGGAAAAAAAACATCCGAAGAATTAGTTTTTTTTTTCAATTCTATTAATTGGGTCTAAATCAAAACGAGTCTAAGTCCTACTTGGCAACCCAGATTCAATTGTCATTTAAAAAGTGCCAATTGTGATGCCATAATTAGTCCGTATGTTTAATGAAGAGACGAGAATTTTGTAATCTTGTATTTATTTTCTAAAGATAATTTTAATAATTTTCAACTTCAGGTGATTTTTGTGTTTTTAGACAGTCGTTTTTTCTTTTTTTTTCCAAATTGTAAACTTTAAATCATTTCCAAGTTGCGTTAGCTAGGGTACAAACGCGTGAAAAATGCTTAAAATGTTAAAATCTTTAAAGAATCTAGTTTTTGGCATTGATTTTATGAAATCCATACTTTTAAATCTCGATTTAACCTCAAAGAACGATAATGTTTCGTTTTCTTTTATAAGGAAAAAAATCATTTCCGCTAAAAATGCTTATGATTGGAATTAAACGACCTTACTTTGTGCGTCATTGTATTTTCTCATTAGTTGTAGGGCGTAATAAAAAATTATACGAGCTTGAATTACGGTTACAAATTACAAATACAACTAGCTAAAATACAAAGCTGACAACGTTAGTTAGCTATATATCTTCATATGGAAGAAGGAAAAATGGAAAATATAAAATAAGGAAAAATAAAATCATAAAAGAAGCAAATTTTTGACAACTTTTGAAGATCCGCCGCCGCTATTTCTGATTTGCTCTGAAATGAGAATTTTTTTTTATTTTGCGCGAACAAAAAACAACTGTTTAATTACCATAAATAGATAGCAGCCATAAACCAAACAAATTCTATCAACAAAACCCCAAGATTTATTGATCAAAATTATTTGTTGCGGGACAAGCAGACATTTAAGAAAATGGGTAATGTATTGAAAAATTGAAATGAAAAAAATTCTTTGCAGGCTGTTTAATTGTTTTATAAACCTAGTATAATTCTGAGCAGTATTTCTCTCTTCATCTTTAGTCTAATGTCATCCAATTAAAAAAACGCCTAATGTCATCCAATTTAATTTTTGATTTTTTTTTCAGTTTGTCAGATTGATTCAAATCAACACACAGCAGTTTTTTACTAGCCAAAAAAGCTATCAAAAAGCAATTCTGAATCACTTTTTATAACTTCCCAGATTGGCATAAAACATTGTGTTTCACTCTGTTGTGATTTAGTATTTTAGTATGTTATAACCTAGACCTCTATTATCTAATTAAGTACCAGTCAATGTTCACTCTACGAAGTCCAGTGGACTTCGGATCACTAGTTGCTTTTTTTAGACTACAGTCAGTCTTAATTCAAACAATACTTTTACTCTCTTTTAACTTTTGTTAGATACATTAGTTACCAGTGTTAAACTTACACTTTTATCATGGCGCACTCAAAAACTGATTCGAACCTGCGGGGAATACCCGCTTTTTGGCCGAACCACACGGTAGAACCTCCCACCCAATGGAACAACTGGATAGACCAATTCCTTTTGCCTATCATTGCGAAGAAAAGTTTATACATAGACAACCTCAAAGAACCAGTGGAAGGGGACACGACGTTACCGATCCTAGAAGGCGCTCAGGAGTCAGAAACTGACCAACAGAGGAAAGCCAGGGAGGCCAGGAACAAAGAGTAATGCGAGTCTACGAACACGCTGAAGAGAAAAGACTAGCAGAAGATAAACGGAAATTCGGAGGAATGAGGAGATATGAGGCTGACAAAAAAGTAAGGTCAATCCTATACTTGGCCTTAGGAGCGGAAGGAAAAAGAGTTTTCGCCCAGAAAAATCCACGGTTAAAAGTCCTAGGAATCTCATTCAAGGAATTTTACGAACTGCTAGAATCGACTTTTATGAAATCAACCAACATAACATTTGAACGATATAAATTATTGAGCAGGAAACAAAAGAACAAACTATGAACAATTTTGGGGCGCGTTATCAGATTTAGCAAGATCATGTGAATTAATGCAGAACAGGAGTGGATCAGAGACGTATTTATTTTTAACATGAAAAATTGCGACTTTTAACGTAGACTACTTTCGGAAACTCTCAATCCATTGGATGCACTGAACCAAACAATCATCGACGAAAAAGGCTACTATAACCACCTCAAATTAACCAATATGACTAGATCTTTCAACACGACAGGAAGTAGCGGGAGAGTGTATAAAAACTTCAACAATGTAAAAAAGGAACCAAGCTTGAACATAGAAAGATCAAATACTTGTATGAAATGCGGGAATGCATTTACCAAGGGTCATCTGAATGTGTGTCCGGCGAAAAAAATTGTGTGTAATATTTGTAAATATAAAGGACACTTCGGAAGACTTTGTAATTCGAAAGGAAGAAAACCCACTGTAAATATTGTAGATGAATCTGTAAATAGTCAGAACTGTTCTTATTCCCCAGAAGACCTTCAGGCAAGAAGCGAAGAGAAATTTTGCTGAGTGAATAACGCGTGGACCGAAGAGGGGATAAGCGATAAGGACGGCTATTCCGTTCTTAACATCAGAACAATCTACGATACCAATGGCTTGGAAACCAAGAAATTAATCAACATCGGAGTGGGAGACGCTGCAATAGTCAATTCTAACATTCCAGTGGATTTGGCAAGCCCAGTGAGCTTCCTGAAGCCAAATTTACTACACGATTTGAAGTTGAGAAATCCACAATTGAAGATACACCCAGTAGAGAAGAAAATTAGGGAACTATACTGCGGATTCACCAACGACACAATCAACATCATCGGGAAAGTGGTAGTGAGATTACAATCCAATGGATGGACTGCGGACGAAACTCCATTTTTTATCACTTCTGGACTTGAGAGGAACATCCTGAAAAACGACAATCTTCCGAGAATTGGAATCGAGATAGCTCAACGACAGCCTCTACTACCCGTCAACAACATAACACGCCCAGAGTTGTGTAAGTTAAATAACTATTCAGACACGATCCTTAATCTGTATCATAAGTACAAAGGATTATTTAACAGAGTGGGAAAAATACCATTGGACAGAAAAGTTACTCATTTCCACTCTCCATTCAAACCTATCCAAACCAAAGGTAGAAGATTTCCCCTACATTTACTTGATAACGTAAGAACGGAACTAAATAGAATGGAAAAAGAAGGGCATATCGTGAAGTTAAACAAATGCGATGAAGATTGTTTTATAAGTCCAATAGTGATTACAAGAAAAAAAGACGGTAGCATCAAGTTGGCATTAGATTCGAAACTACTAAATAACCAGATATTCAAGAACAAGTATCAAATGCCAAATATACATGA